GAATGATTAAGAAGGCCAAACAGGCTTCTGTGAAAATTGTAAACATGTATATTATTAATACAAACTCCAGACAGAGACTTATGATGCCAGAGTAATTGGGGAAAATTTTGGGTAATGGCCCTTTGCTATTCATAGGTTATCTCAAAATGTTCTTTTTTAAATTTTTTTTTTTAGTTTTAGAGACAGAGTTTTGCTCTGTCGCCCAGATTGGGGTGAAGTGGTGAGATCTTGGCTCACTGCAACCTCCGCCTCCCGGTTCAAGCGATTCTCCTGCTTCAGCCTCCTGAGTAGATGGGGTTACAGGCATATGCCACCACACCCAGTTAATTTATGTATTTTTTTAAAATTAGAGATAGGGTTTCACCATGTTGGTCACCCTGACCTCATGATCCACCTGCCTCAGCCTCCCAAAGTGTTGGGATTACAGGCGTAAGCCACCGTGTCTGGCCTCAAAATGTTCTTAAAATGTGACTTCACTGATGTGGCAGTGCCGGATAAGCAGACCTGATGCCTTCATTAGGTGGGTCCTTAAAGTCTGTCTGGATCTATGTTTCCCTGTCACACAAATGGGTATGATCCCATCCAAACAAGCCCAACTTAGCACATTCTTCTCTAACTTTTGCTTTTTATCTCTTCAGATAAGCACATTCATCATGATTCAATACTTTGACATTCCTTCCTTTTTCTCTCCGCCTTTCCAATTCTTTTTCCTTCTGTCCTCAATCTCCTTCCCCCAAAACTGTCAGCTCCTCTTTTAAGGGCAACCTTCTTGGTAATAGAGTACCTGGTATTTTACACAAAATCAATATTTTTTGTTGATTGAATGAATACACTATTAAAATCACTAGATTCAAAGGAAACTAAAATTCAAATCATAGGTTTTTTGTTTTTCTAGTCCATATTGAAGGTGAAATTTTAATAATAGTAGTAATAGGAAGAACTATTTGCCTAGACCATCAACTAAATGACTTACGGTGTTGTCAGTTTATTCTGGGCTTATATTGTGCATGCATTTTCATTTGTATATGAATTTATACTGCTTTTAAAGTGAATACTTCCTCTCTGTCCAATTATGGACAGTTACAAGCATGCACATGCACATACACACACACACACACACACACACACACAAATGACGAGTGAATCCGTGGAGTGACCCTAATTGCTAAGTTAAGGATTCCTATGGCAGAATACAACAGCACTTTTATGGATTTTCAGATTTGCTCAGCAGAGGTATGGCTTACCCCTCTTGAGTGTGGCTGCTCCTGGCACTTTGATATTCGTGAAGTGCCTTGTTATTAATCCTGCTTTGCAAAACACCCTGAAATCCTGGTTGCTGGGTCAGCATTGATTGCTTAGTCAAGGTCTGTCTAACAGCTGACTCAGTTTGCCCACCAAAGATTAGATTACTGTTTTTTCCTTTGTTTCAATAACCTTATAATTTCTTGCATAGCAACAGTGTCTAGGAGTCAGAGGGAGTTTTCTGGTTTCCCAGTTTGAATCATGAACATTTTTATCCACAGCCATTATCATGGAAAGCCTTGCAATGCCTTCAATGCTAACCTCTTCAGGTGCCACGCAAAGTGGGACAGCTGTGGTCAGAGGTTGCATGACCCAAAGATTGAGTATCTGATCTTGATACAGAGAATCAATCATCCCCGAGTAACATGGCTGGATCCAGGGGATTCCAATCATGACTTACTTTTATTTCTTGAATTGGAAGTCTGTTTTAGACACAGAAAATTCCTCAGTAATAGTACTTTCAGATTAGGTTGAGGGGATGGTGGCCAATTTTTAGAAATAGACTAATGTATACACTTTTTCTCATTTTAGGAAAGAAGAAAAATCACAATTTTGTCATGAGAATTGATCATAGGCACATTTTGGGCACAGTGAAATGTGTGGAAGCTCCTCAGGTATCTGGCTCACAGCTCATTTGCTCCAATTAAACAAGTATGTGTTAAACATCAACTAAATGACAGTAATTGCAATAGGAGCTGAGAGAAATACAAAGAGAAAAAAAAAACATGATTCCCATCCTGGAAAGACCCTTGCATCTCTCTCTCACCATCTCCTTCTAGTCTGAAGTTGAAGATGACATTTTTAATCTATAGATGTTAGAAAAGGTGTTAGTCTTCTAAACTTCATGTATTGAAATCATCTCAAAAAGTAAAACAGAATCATGGTTCATTCTCTCAACCACAAAACTAAGAATTTTAACTTGATTGCATTAGATATATAAGATCCAATGAAAATTTCTTAATAATAATAATCATAACTATAATAGTACCTCATTAATTAAAATAACATACCACTTGTTATGTTCACTGATAACAAAAATGATAGCACTTCAAAATTGTGTTTTTTTCCTTCAAAATGAAAAAAACAGTGTTATGTGCATTTCATTTAGAAGATGCATATCATTTTCCATTTGACTTAGAATTCCAGAGCACTGAACTGTGGGCTATTTCTACTATAGGATTCTCAGGGTTGGAAGGGACCTCAAGGACACCTGCCCACCCTCTTGCTCCCCATAATTAAAATACTTCAAAGAGGAGTTAATTCCCTTTTCTTTTTCCATACTTCTTAGCTTCTTCCTGCCAGGGGTGCTATGCTCACCTGGCATTGCAAGTGACGGGTCAGAGGAGGAGTCAGCTCGCAAGGATCTGATGATGAGGGTTGCCATGATGGTTTCTGAGTCTACCGGAGTCTGGCTGCTTGATGACTTGGATGGAGGGGACAAGACAACGCACATGGAACATTGCTCTATGTTGGCCGCATGGAGGTCTCCAGGATAAAGTGCAGATCCCTAATGAGAGGAAAATAGAGAGGAGGCACTTATCTGATGGAGGGATGTTATATCATGGCTCATGGTGGCGGCTCTTTGAGAGTGATGCAATTTTTGAGCTTTGAGCTCCAGCCTTCACTGAGTTGATGTTAAAACTTAGTTACCTCATGTCTGACAAATTTAACCTTATCAATCACTGATATTTTAGTGTGAATAAGTTTCATAGATTCTTTCCTGAAAGCAAGTTTGGATGAGACAGAGGAGAGTGGGGAGGGAGGAACACAAGTCCTTGCCACTGACTCAGGTGGAAGAAGAAGAGAGCAGTGTCAGGGTAATAGTGATGAGGAAAAACATTCAAAGAAAAGAGGGTATGGATCTAGAGGCAAAATGTGCATCCTCACAATATTGCTAATACAAACAGGTGACCCAACTTGCACTCTCTAACTAGCAAAGTGGAAGTTGCTTCTTTCTTCGGTGGTAAAACAGATCAATCTGGTTCTGTCTTCAGGTAGGTTGGAGTCTAATATTGTGGAAATTCCTAATACTAGCTGGATCAGGAGATCTGATCTTTTTTTTTTTTAATTTCTTTTAATGAATTTAAGCAAGAGAGGTACTACAGGGGATCTTACAGTGGCTTTTTAAAAAAGCAAATGCAATTTGCTTCTTGAGAGAATTATTTTTGAAATTTGAAAAATTTATTATATTAGGTTAGTGCAAAAGGAACCACGGTTTTTGTCATTTAAAGTAACGGCAAAAATCGTGGTTCCTTTTGCACTAACGTGATATATTGGCAGTATTATCTCATGAAAATTCAAATGCTTTGGTACATTTCCCAGTGCAAATAATGGACTTGTCAACCAGAGAAATGGTGGCATCGAGTGGGATATAGATCTATGTAACTTCAGGAAAAATATAATTGCAACCACAATACCACATAAGCAAAATCCCTCCGCTTCATACAGCTTTCAGGGACCATGTGGCATTATATGGTCCATATAAAATGTCTCCAGAAGAGATGGAAAAGTTAGAGCAGCAAAGGCTGACCAGTATTAGCTTAGGTATAACCATTAAATTACAATCAGACTCAGAAATGCAGAGAAACTCTTACTTGTACAAAGATCATAAAACATGGTGATTCGAGCATTAACTCAAGAGCCACAATATCTGGATTTAAATCCTAATTTTGTTACTTACTGGCTGTGCAATCTTGGTCAAGTTATTTTCTCTTTCCATGCATAAAGTTTAATATCTACCCCATAGGGTAGTTTTGAGAATTAAATGAGTTAATATAAGTAAAATATCTAAGAACAGTTTCTGGCACCTGGTAAGCACTATAGAACTGCAAGTTATTATTATCATTATTAATTCTAGTCCTATTAATATTATAATCCTTATAAATATTCACTATTCCTTATATGATACTTACAGGCAGAATATATATCTGGGGAAAATTCCGGAGAAATCGCCATTCTCTCTGTAGATAGTCCAGAGACCCAATGAACACTATGTCCTTCAGCTCCTGCCGGGTGTAGTTGCTGGCTCTCAAGGGCATTACAAAGTTCCGAAGCCCCACCAGGGCTGAATGGGCATCTCCAAATACACATGCTACAATGTGGTTCTGAAACTCGTGTTTCAACTTGTCAGTTCGTTTCTAAGGACAAGCATGACAGAGTCTGGTCATTTTTATAAACAAGATGAGGATCCCTCCAAGTGGGCTCCCTCTCCTCCTCTCAGCTCATCTAGGTACATCCACAGCCCTACTTTCACAAGGTGAATAGAATTTTGCAAATTGTTTATAAAACACAGAACTCATGTACAAGTGGCACAAGTACACCTTTTACTTTTTTGTGGAATTTCTTCTTATTTCACTTTCTTTTTAGTTTACAATTAGCCTGGAGTCATCAACTAAAACTCAGATCAGCATCATCCTCAGGGTGTGAAATCATTGGACCAAATGGGAAAAGTATTTATTGATTTTTATTACATATTTTTAGCCTTGTATGTGCCATAGTAAAATTTGGTGAAAACCTAAGACATTCCAAATTCCTTGCTAAATCATGTCTTCTAATGAGTCCTGAAAATTACAGCAAGCTGTATAACATATTGCAGCATTCAGTGAGTTTTCATTCATTAGTTTGAACCATATGAATTTACCTTATTACGGGTCAAAAATGGTTGAACAATGACAATTTTATATGGTTCAGTTGAATACACTGAACTGATTCTGTAGACTTTTTCCTGCATCAAGGAAATTCATCATGCAAAGTGCATAAAAGAAATAGAAATGTTATAAAAACTTCATTTGATCTCAAACATTTGAATATGTATCATACTACTATCAGCATTGCCAACTGTTAACATCACCTCTGTGTCTCTAAGTTGAAAACAAAATAATATACATGACACATACGTACATTTCTCCCACATTCATAGAGACTCATAAAAACAATAAATGTAACCTTTAAAGAGTGATATTTCTGAAGAAAACTTATATTTAGCCTATGTGTGGTTTCTTTCAGAGTATGGCTAATGTCTCCTCTTAATGGCACTGGGATGTGACAGAAAAAACCTTGGACTTGGAGTCAGAAGACATGATTTTGCATTCTGCTTCTATTGTTAGCTATATGACTGAGCAAATTACTTAACCTCTCTCGTTCTTAATTTCTTTGTGTTTAAAATGGAAAAAAAAATACCCAAAAAGTGAATTTTGTTGTAGAATGCAATATATTGAAAGTATATATTTCTTACTCACTACTGATCAAATCTAAAAGTTATTGAATTTCTAAATTTTCAAAGGAGGACACCTAGAATTTGGTATAGAATAAGTTAAATGTATTTAAATTTCACCATGAGCGTTTCCTACATTCCTAGACAAACAAAGACTCAGAATACTTCAAATAGATATATCATTCTTCTTTTTGCCAGTCCTTTGCTGGGTTAAATGGCAAGCTTCTATGAAACAGGCATTGATGAAATCTAACAGGATAAATAAGCAACATCTGACATTTCTACAATTAGAGTTTACCAAATTAGCATATACTGGGAAATACTATACTGTACTCTCCTTCCAAGAGGGATCTCCCCATGAGGGAAAATAAAGCTACTTGTCTGGAGAAGCCTTTCTAGAGTAATATGAATCTTAACCAAATCTATTAAATAATTGTCTCTAGCTAATCTGATTAGTTTTAACTTGAATAATGAAGCCTCTAACGGTATTTAATGTAAGATGTCTAAAGTCCAACAATTGCTCTTCTGAGTAGAACTAAACAATTAGAAACAAGGATACATGGCAGAGTGCATTAATGGGCACAGCTAGAGAGGCAATTTCTCTAAGAAACTGTGGCACAAAACTGTCTCTCGATTAAGAAAGATGGTGGCTATTGGAGGAAGGGAGGATGTCCTATTTGCTCAAAGTAACTTAAACTGACAACTTCTACTTGACCCTTTTGCAAACGAAACCAAGTTTAAAGCCTTCCTGAATTTTGCAATACAGATACTTCTTTCCTAGGGGCACACATTTCAAATTCTTTAGCATTTTTAAAACTAGAAGGCATCCTAAACTTAACAAAAGACCATCATAAGGAAATATAAATCATGGCAACCTATCTGCATTCTTAATAAATATGATCTAATAAAACTTCTTCTATTTCCATCCTTTGGTCTCAAATGTCTCCATCTGCAACCAACTTCCTGACCTTTCTAAAGATTTGCCTCCCACTGAAAATATGTTTGGTTTCCTGCTCAACGGATATTTATTTTGTATAGTTCAGAATAAGACATAATTGCTAAAATGGTGAGTTTCAGCAACCCTAACAGTCTTCCAGTTGGTATGACAGCTCTGACAGTTTTGCATTTCTGATCAAATGATTGATCACGGTTTTACAAAAGTTGGAATATATTCTGTCAGGACACTGGCGCTGAGCCACAAAGATGTGTGTGTGTGCATGTGTGCCTCTATCAAAAAAAAGTGAACTAAACTACTTTTGAAAAGCAAGAATCTATCTATCTATCTCTATCTATCTATATATAGATACATATATATGTGTGTGTATATATATGTATCAATTAGTCATATATAAAAAAATATATATAGGTTTCATACAGCATGCAAGCAATCTTTTTTTTTTTTTTTTTTTT